TCACATTTTTTTAGAATTAATTAATAAGTGTTTATCACACATTCTTATTTATGATATTTTACTTTTTTAAAAAAAAAATTTAATTTATTATCTCTTTCTTAATAATTACAGTTTTCTATCATAAAAATATTTTAATTTTTTATAAAATATAACAAAAATTTAAAACAACACACTAAGCTTGGGCTCTGTGTAGTTTAACTTTTTTAACGCAGTCGTTGCTTTTTTCTTTTTCTTTTCTTTTTTCTTTATTTTCCCTTTAAAAGCAAACGGACCGTGCGATTAGATTAAAACCCCACAAAAGTTTTCCAATTCTCCTCTTCAGACCACCTTCTGCCTCTCTTTTACTTCCAAAAAGTTTTCAACGTTCTTTGTTTCCTGATCTCACCTTGCCCAGAGAGAAGGAGAGAGATACAAGCACAAAAGAGAGAGAGAAAAAGGGGAAAATGACAGAAACGACCAGACATGGATCTGAAACCCTCCATTCTCTTCAATGTCTAGAGGGAAATAAAAGAATATCAGAAAGAGGTAAGGAAAAAGATGATAGAAAACAAATTAGAATGGTCATCTTTCTACCATTCCATCTCTTTTTCAGTTTCTTGAGAGCAGAGAATCAAATAGAGAAAGAAAAGAAGAACAAAGAAAGAAGGAAAAAAGAAGATCGAAAAGAAGATAGATGGGTTTCTCGTAAAGACCCAACACTACTTAGTCATTCTGTTAAATTTCAATCTCTCTTGTTCGCAAGCCTTTCCCAGAGAGAAGGTGAGAAATACAAACATAACAGAGAGAGAAAAAGGGGAAAAAGACAGAAACGAGCAGACATGGATCTGAAACTCTCCATTCTCTTCAAGGGAGATCGAAAAGAAGATCGATGGGTTTCTCTTCAAGACCCAACACTACTTAGTCATTCTGTTAAATTTCAATCTCTCTCGTTCACAAGCCTTGCCCAGAGAGAAGGTGAGAAGTACGGACATAGCAGAGAGAGAAAAAGGGGAAAAAGACAGGAACGAGCAGACATGGATCTGAAACTCTCCATTCTCTTCAATGTGGAGAGGGAAAGAAAAGAATATCAGAAAGAGGTAAGGAAGAAGATGATAGAAAACAAATTAAACTGTCCTCTTTCTACCATTCTATTTCTTTTTCAGTTTATTGGGAGTAAAGAGCCAAATAGAGAAAGAAAAGAAGAGCAAAGAAAGAGGGAAGAAGAAGATCGAAAGAAGAGATGTGTCTTTCTCTTCAAAGACCCAACGGTGGCCGGAGGTATTTTTACTTATCTCTTAATATTGGTAGGTGATCATTCATGGAGTTTATTTTTATTTGGTTCTCCTTTCATGAAGTTGGCATAAGTGATTTAGTCTCTCTTAATCTGGGTTTACATAAATCTTTTTTTTTTAAAAATTTCTTTTTATAGTTTCTGTCTTCTTATTTATTTATTCTTCTTATTTAATGTTTTTAGTTTTCATAAATTTGTTTTGTTATGTGTAGTATCTGTTCTTAACTAACTAACTAATTGTTTCTTAGCATCAGTTATTTTCAACTATATCTGTAATGAGGAATAATGAATTGGTTCTCTGTCTCTCTCTGTGTTCTCTTCTCTCTTTTGTTCTCTCTGTCTGTTTCTCACTCTCTCTGCACTTCTCTCTTTGTTTGCTACATTCCAAACCCTAAAAGCCCTCTTCCTAAATTTCACACATAACATATTTCTAAATTAATTCGAGTTCTTTCTTGTTATAAACATTGCAGCAGGTTTCTTAACTGGGGAGATGTTGTTTTTCTTATTCCTTTTTACCATGATTTATAGACTTGAAATTTACTCAAAAGATAGCAGCAGTTTCTTGTTTTTTCATTTAAATATTCCAATTTAGCTTTAATAATTTTACAGACAAACAAACTATCTTCTGGAATTTGATTTAGTAGGTTCTGTTTTTTATGGAGTTTGCAAAGTTGATATTTTGGTCTCTGTTTCTAAGTACATTTGACACGTTCCTTTGAGACCCAGGTAGGTTGGGAATAGAATATTAATGCTGTGGATATTCCATAGTTATATGCTAATGTATGAATCAAATATGAACATATTACCCTTTTCCGATTGAGGGAACTTTCGAAAAGAAGAATTGTTTGATTGATTACCCTCCCAAAGTATTCAGAGTATTCGGGTTTTCTTGAAAACTAACAGCGTAAAAATGTTACAGCAATAATAAATGTATTAAAAATAAAAGCAAGAATAACGATTGGATTTGGAGCTCTATTGCATAGATGGTAATCTATAGTCTTTTTTAATTTTCTAACTTATTATTTCTTTCACAATCTAAAACTTCTTAAAAAACTATTTTATCTTGTGAACTTTCCTTTAAATATTTTCATAATTGGGAATATTGTCTAAAATGTCGCATATTTTTCATTTATGCTTTCAATTGTTGCAATATTTTCTTTTTCAGTATGATGAGATGTTCCCTTCACTATTCATTGATCATCCTGATATATTTTCTATTATATAAATATATGTCAAGGTTTATTTTGCTTTGTTATGATATGAATTTTATTTTCTATTATATATATATTTTTTCTATTTAGAATTATTTACTTAACAATATTCTTTATATTTACTTTAATATTCTTTATGTTTACTTTAATATAGGACTACCAAAGTTATTATCAATCTTAGGGAATACTTTTAAGATAAATAAGCATGTATTTTTATTTTTTTGGGTGGTTAAAATTTTTATATTTTGTTAGTATATAATTCTTTAGGCAAAAAGTTTAAAATAGTTTCACTTGTATTTTATTTTCTTTTATTAGTAGCACTCTTTTATACGTGGATTATGAGGTATCCGTGGAATAAGAGATATGTTTTCATTTTTTTATCATATTTTTCAATTTAGTTTTGCTTGTCTTAAACCTAATTTATTTTTCAAAATTTTCTGATGGAGTTGGAGAGAGTTACAATGTTATCTATTTCTGCATCATCTATCACATTAAGTTTTAAAAAGTTTTTTATTTGGAGAACAAGGATCACTTTAGTGGAAAAGAAGATTTGGAGTTCGATTTGATGGAAGATACTGGTGATAGCAGGAACTTATCTTCTTCGGTTGCAGGAGTACTTGGTCAGTGATTTTTTTTGTTTCTTTAATATTTCTAATAAGGTTGCATTTACTAAATTGGTAATCAGGATAGTACTTGTCTATTATGCAGTGGTTTGGTACTCTGGGCTGCTTTGTTGCATGAGGTATCTCTTTCCTCTTGTCTTTTACATTATATTTACTGCGTTTTGGTATGTTTGTCTTGTTTCTCGCGTCGCTGACAAAAGGAAGAAAGTCCTTATCATTCTTCAAAATTGTGCTGTAAGTGATGAAAATTCAATTTTTATTTTAATAATTTTGCATAATTACTTATAGCAAACCTGCGAATACTGGCTCTCTTGCTTACGCTGGCAGGTTCTCGGTATAGCCTGTGGTGTGCTTTACGGTCTGTGAGCGAAAGAGGGAGAGTGAGTACGACGAAGAAGAGAACCAGAGCGACAGAGGAAGCGAGTTCGTATGAAATTTTACCTCATGATTTTATTATCTAATTAATCAATTATTTTTATTTTTTTACTAACTAATCAAACAATAATTTTTAAATTATGCTACCATAACTTAGTTGAAGGATGTATTTGAACACTAAAAACCTACATGATTCTAGATCGATATGAACAATGTAAAGCAAATAAATTATAATTAAAAACCAAAATTGGAATAAAAATACAAACAAACTCAAATACAGTTACAAATTCAAGTACACTGAAAAAAAATCCAATTGATTTTTTTACAATTCCAAACAAATGAAACAAATAACTAACTCGAATGAAATTACAACAAACTAAAACAACAAATTTCAACAACAAGTAGGTGCTAAAAGTCTAATATATTTGCAACAAACTCAAATATAATAACATACTCAAGTAAACCAAAACAAAAATTATATTTAGCTCTTCAACTTTTCCAGCAAATGAACATCTCAAACACAATAACGACAAACTACAACAAACAAATTATAACTACTCTTACAAACTAACTCAAATACAATTACCAAGTCAAGTAAATCAAAACAAAAATTATATTTAGCTCTTCAATTTGTCCAGCAAAAAACTTCTCAAAAATAATGACCAACTGCAACAAACAAATTACAACTACCTTTATAAACAAACAAATTACAACTACCCTTATAAACTA